AAACACGGCTTGGTATCTTTTTTTCTCAAACACTGCGCAGTTTTATGAAGTTTCTGTGTGAACCCCGCTGTGTTTTTCAGTCTTATGTTGGGGTGATGTTTGACTGCACAAATAAAGTCACCATGATTTAAAAAAGAGATTGCTGGCATCCTAAATCATCAGCGGTGTCAAAACAATTCACTTCCCTTTCGTTGCCAAGCCTCTGCCTGTCGCCCTCAGCCGCGTGGCCTCCGCTCCTGGGTGGCCGTGTCACCACGAGCGGCTCATCCCGGCCATGCGCCTGTTTATGCATATTAGCTTTTTTGCCTCATGTGCCTGCATTCGCAGCTATTCCCTCGCGTAACTGCATATCTAGTCAGGGCTGAGGCTTCCCAGGCCTTATTAAAACCAAGAGAGTGTTTCAATTCAGGGTCATCGAGAGAGTGCAGCACATAAATATGTTAGGGCAGCGCTATCAGCCGGTCAGTTTACAGGGGGGTGATCGATGATGGTCATGGCACACTCGCACAAACATCTTAAGCGGATGCGGCTTTTGCTTAATTGGGAGCTTTGCCGCTCAGATTCCGACTTATTTGATGTTGATGATGAAGTCCCAGGAAGGCTGTGAGATTCTTGTAAACTAAATGTGCATGCATGCTGTCTTCATTTGTACGCTGGTCCGAACTGTTACCCGTCAATTTAACCTGCATAGTTTACCTCTTCTTCTACGGGAGTATCAACACACACATACGTACACACATGCCCCGAGCTCATTTTTAATCCTCGCGGCTCACTGTGAAGGCAGGAGGAAGTTCCAATTAAAATTAAAATAAGCTCTTTTAACGGTCTCTTAAATTGACAACTGAACAATGATTTTCGAATTGGTATCTGTCAAAGGTCTCGGAAAATCCTCAGTTGATAAGGCCCAACGCATCCAATTAGTAGCAGAGTAGGGCCTCAGCCAGTAATGATTTCCAGGTCCCTTAAGATGTGGCGTGGACACTTATTGCAAATTACTGACAAAGAGCCCCGCTGTATTGATGAGAGGGAGAACAGCCAAGTCTCCGTGTTCCCATCAGGTGGACGAGCACTAAGAGGGGTCTGAAGGAGAGCCCAGGTGTCTCTCTCGCTCGTTCTCTCTCTCCTCTTTTCCGCAGCCATAATGTGGCCTTGCTGTGTAGCTCGTATATAGCCCCCCTGCTGACACGGACTCTCAGAGACCAGCCTCTCTTGACATGAGCCCCAGCTCAGGGAAAATGCTAATGCTAACGCGAGGAAGGTGTCAGGAGCGGATCATCAATAATGTCTGCAAGTTTACTGCCCTCTTCTAATTATAGCTTCTATCTCTCAGGGCCGCAGGAGACTGCAGGGCAGCTCCTTAATTGAGCTGAGGTAGATTTACTTCCCCATCATATTCGCGGCTCCATTGTTTACAGTCCTTGAAACTGATTGAAAGGAATCAAAAGATTCGTTGAGATGTGATTCAGTACAGAACATGTTTGGTATGCAGGAGGAATGACTAAAGGAGGATGATTCTTGCTGGTCAGGTAGGGATTTAGATTTGAAGGCCATGCTATAGCCAGAGGTCATATCATTTAATTCTCAGCATTGATGCCTCTGGAATGCTGTATGTGATGTTTTTTTTGCTTCTTGCTGTTACATTGCAGGCTGGTTCCGGAGGGGCAAATAAGAGCTGCTTCAATGACAGTCTAGTAAGTAAGAGCTGCTCACCTCAATTATGGGAGTTAATGAATAGATAATCACATTTTGCATTTAGATTTGCTGCTTGTGTTGCAAGATTGTAGCCCACATTCCCTCCATGGTCTCTGGGGAGGGTTGCTGCTGGTCCACAAAGCTCTCAGGCCATGCTAAGTCCCCTGATGCTTCCACGGGTCTGCCGCTTCCATCCTGCTGTAGGCTCAGTGAAGAAGGTGTTGACCCTGGTGACCTGAGCCTGCTTCCATTGGGTGAGGAAGGGCTGCTCTATACTCTGTGCTTCAGGGTCAAATGGTTTTGTAGTTTGTAGTTTCCTCTAGTTAGATGTTTGTTGCAAATGACTGTTGAGAAGAGGGAGGGCTGATAGCTGAGTAGGTATCTCCAGCAGGGAGGGGTTTGGGATGTTTTTGACATTTTGCTCAAGGTGATGATTGTGCTTGTGTTTTGTGCTGCTTGCGAATACAATATGAGCTAAATACTGATTGGTGATTATCGTTATGTCACTGTTTATCTTCATTTTTAATTCATGCCCCCAAAAATTCTATTTCTGTGAGCTGATTTGCATCTGCTCATCATCTGGATGCCGTTGTAATCCCCGCTAAACTTGTAGCCCTCTGCTCGCCTGTGTTCCTTTAAGATGAGAGAGGCTTTGATTTTCCCCATCTTTGTGTCACACTGACTGGCATGCTATTTGACAGGTGGAGTTAAAATAGAGAAAATTGTGGATGAAAATTCGTCAGTCTCAATCTCTTGCCCTGGGCTGTAGGCAGCAGAGACAGAAGCCCACTGCTTCGTGTCAAATGTTTATCAAAGGGCCTGATTAAATTGCTGTGTTCAGGGTAACAGCCTTATAGAAAAAAAAGTGAAATCCCTATACCTTGGCAAGGAGTCCTTGTATGATTGTGAGCACAATAAAGCAAGTGGATGTTTAGGTGCCAGAAGAAACCTCTGACCAGCCAACTGTAAGGAAGGCTGGAATATCATATGCCCTTTGTTGTCGCACAAAAAGAGACGCAGGCTCTGAGATCTGTTGTTGTTCTCACTTTCCTCTGTCTTCTCAATCATTCTTTTTTCTTTTTATTGCTGGAGGAAATAAACCTGGCCCCTTTTGCTGAGGCTAGCTAGCTTCCCCTGGCCATTCCTCTCTGTTTTGTTTCAAAAGGGCAAGGCTCTCCAGCCTGAGCAGTTTGCCCTGCAGTCCCACGCCAGGGGCGATGCTTGCCTCAGCTGCTTCATCACTGGGGGACTGGGCTAACGTCTCCTGACTGCACTTAGCTGTGTTTCTCTGATACGGTCATATCACATCAGCCTGGGCACATGTGACATTGCATCTCTCCCTAACTTTAAGCAGTTTGTTGCCATCCACGTTCTTTCTGCTTTTATCTTCCCATTTTTTTGAGTGATGTTATGATTTGCTGCAATATTTTCTGGCAGTGCTGCTGCCACACGTTTGTGTCGGATAACAGGGCCTATTACAAGATCTCTCGATCTGGCCAGTTTTCGCCTACAGGAGACAGAGAGAGCTATGACTCCCCCTCCCAATTTTTTTTTTTTTTCGCTCATCCTTACCCCCGCATTTGAATTTCTAGATAATAGGCTTTGACTTCTGGCTGCACGTTTATGGGTCTTTTCATGTTATCAGCTTAGCTCATAGCGTGGAGCTGAAGAACACAGACTCCTAGTGACAGGCCAGCCAGTCAGCAAGGCGAGCCTGTCAGGATCTCTCATACACTAATGATTTCCCTTTAGTCTATTTTCTGTCTCATTGGCCGTTTCCTTCAAAAACAAAATTGCTCATTTAAATTCTCATGCCTGGGGCATTTTGGTCTTCAAATATTGTTGGAAAGTGAAAGGATTAGGCAAAATATGCTTTTTTAAAATGTTAATATATTTTCTGGTTCACTTTCTCCTCTGAGGCCAATTAGAGAATTTCTGCTGGCTGCATTAATGTCAAACTGACATCCCCAGCTATAATTACACTGTGCTTGAAACCTAACTTTCACTTGTGGGTAGATGAGTGTGCCTTGCAGTGACACATAGACTCGCTCTGCCAGCTTTTGATCATTTAATCATTGCTTGCTTTCTTTCACTCTTGCCTCCCTTGCTTGCTGATGATCTCACCTTTTATTCTTTCTGTTGCAAAATGCAGTGTTGTGTTTCATTATTCACCGCCGTATTTTGCAGGGTTCATTAGTGACATCATCCCCCCCTTCTCTGCCTGCTCTCGCAGCAACACGAGGAGAATGGGATGGTCCCTTCAGGTGCAGATACCATATGTACATTGTTTACTCGCTTGATTCCCGATTTACATTGTCTTGTTTGTGTTCTCTGCATGTTCTTTTTTTTGTTTGTTTGTTTGTTTACGGTGCGACGACTGAGTGCTGTCAGGATTTGAAGGATGGGTACACATTCACCGTGTTTTTGCCAGTCCTCCTGATGCTGTGTCAAGACCAGGGAAACAGTTAAAGTGGTTAATGCTTTCACTGTGAATATGAATGCCTCCACACAGCACTCTGAAACTCTGTGACAGACTCCACAATTTGGGCTTCATTTCCCTGTCAGTTAATATAGAGGCAGTGACGCTTCATTCTTAATATCTATGAAGAGAAGAGTCGCTGACATGTTGAATGAGCAATAATACTAAACAAAATTAGAAGGGAGAGATTTTCAGAGGGATTGGTGCAAATGTGTGCAAATCTGTAAACACTCCAAATGAGGAAAATCACAAATTGCATTGAGACTTAAATGTGTGTCTGACACTGGATTTCTCTGGAAAGGGAAAAAGAACAAAATGCTTCAAACGCTCAGATTTCTGCTGTTTTACTGACACCTTTTAAAGGCTGGAGATGATAGGAGTGTTATCAGACATCAGTTTTCTTCACAATGCGCCCTGCAGAGGTGGAAATGCTCGCACACCTACACATTTTAAAACCAAACTCCATCACTGTTTTCAAAGTGACTTCAGGCACCAATTGCTTCTGTCAGGAGAGCAGAGTCTTGTGAATGAGCTGCACTCCTCCTCCCCATTTAGCCTCCAACAGCTTGACAATTGTGATGCCAATCAGCTTAATGACCCAGTGATTGTTCTGAATTTCCATTACCCCGTGTTGGACACCATCAATCTGTTGCAGTATGTGGTGTTTCTGGAGGGGGAAAAAAAATCACAGCATAATTTGACAAAGTGTACCTAAGCTTCCTTGGCTATTCGTAATGTCTACCATCCACCTCTGTTCACCCCCCCTCCTTCGTCTTTTCTCCCCGCCTCACTCTGTTTGCATTGTTTTACTCCTTTGCTTGGACTTCAGGTAATAGGAAATGGCACTGACCCCTCCTGATCCCCCCGATTACCTTCGTGAAGCGTGAATGTGGTATGGAATCACACATCAGGAGACGAGTTGTAATTATTTCTGCGATGCCATCAGCATGGATCAATCACTCAGGGAGGCTGCGAGTGGAACGCCGCTCACAGCCATAGATGGAGCCAGCAGCGACCATCTTTGACTGACAGCTTTGGTAATTAAGTGATTGTATAGACCCCTCCGACTGTTATAACAACCTTGTCAGGGCCAGCCTGTGTTTGGAACACACTCAAATCAATGTGTTCTCCACTCCCTAAGCATTTCTGATCATGTACCTCAGACAGAAGAACTATTTGCATGGACGCTGCTTTCCTTTGATAATTGACATGGCAGTAAAAGAGATTTTAAAACACACATTTAAAAAATATACTTAACATTAACATTTTTAGCATATTTGTTTCTCATAGGAGGCCAAAAAATTGCAAATTTCAAGGTTGCTAAGGCTTGATGAATAAAAGTAGATTTTACTCTCTTCCTTGTATCAATCTTAGAATTTCATGGCATATAATAACTCTAACGGGCACTTCAAATCTGAACTTGAATGTCACATGTTTCGTTATTGCGTGATGTGTAGAAGTTGAAATAATATACAGTGTTTCCATCTTAAATGTCAGGTCACTTTAACGCTCCAACCTTTAATTCCAGAGCTTCAAAGATCTAAATTACCATTGGAATTTGCTTCCCATCGGCATATTGTCATATCTTTGCCTTATTTTACCACATAAAATGAAAAATGTTTGACAGCAGAGAACTAGGTTGTCCATATGGTCTCAAAGAGAATAATTGGTGTGAACATTGGCACACAATTCTTCTAGATTGATGGGCCATTGATAACTCATCTATTTATTATGTCAAACAGTCAAGAGTTCTTTCTGTTATTTAGTCTGAACTTTTAAACTGGCAACTGCAGTATCCAGGTCGAGTTAAATCAATAGTGGGTCAACGTGCTAAATAAACCACTTCATTTTACGCGTTCAGAGTACTCATAAGAGTAATATAAACGGTGAATAACTGGCTTATCACGAGGCTAAACACATAGGATATTTTTAAGGCTTTATTAACATGTCTGTTATATTTGCTGATGCAATTAGATGTGGCTGAAAATCACAAAAAAGCCTAACAAATGACCTTCGAGTTAAGTTTTTTTTTTTGTAGAATTTGTTTGTGTAAAACAGCTTTTATGACATATGATGTCATGCATATGATGTAATGTGTGGTTATAGAGAACCCTCACATGTTCATTGATACTATATGTGATTACAGCTACATTGCAACAACATGTGTCATAAACCATCTGTTAAATATTTTTCAGTGGGTTTTAGTGGTAAACAGAGAGGCTATATTAACATATTCACAAAAATGTTGGCCAGGAAGGTTCTGATTTGATTGCATAACTTTGTGTTCACGTTTATAGCGTCTGCCTTCGCTGTCAGACTCCTCGGAACAGCTTTTGGTCAGCTGATGTAAAGTTTAACGTTAGGGGGGTGTTACTCAGCTTGCTATGAGGTCAGAGTTTAGCAAACTACTTCAACAGTTGTGCCAACATCTCCCACAGAGGGTCGATCCAAATTAAATTCAAGTGCCGCAGCCTCACTATTGGTAAACTCTAAAACATTCAGAAAAAAAGAGATGCAAAACATATTTTGATATCCGACATAATAAAGGACAAACTTTGGGATCAGCAGATGTTTTCTGTGTCAGCAGCAATTCTGAACAAAATTAAGACATCTGTCTACTAGTGTCAAATTCACCCTGTTTGTTTTTCTTTCCACCAGTTCTTCACTGAACCAACAATTCTCTTGTGGTTTCTCTTGGCCACACACACACACACACACACACACACACACACACACACACACACACACCAAAAAAGGTTAAGTGTGTGATATTTGCCAGAGCTGAATATTTCAAAACACAGAGGACCTCCATGCACCCAGTTAATTTTTTGCGTTTTTATTTGTTTTCTTTACTAGAGGTCATCATTGCAACAAGCTGATATGCACCAATTTTTCAAGATGTAGATTTCTGGGAAAAGATTTGTGAAGAATCCCAAATTCCCGCAGGGACTCAAACAATTATTCTTTTAAAAAAATGTATTTCTCCCTCTTAAACACTGACCACCTAACATTAGTGACGTGCGGGTGATACGGGTTTTATTCTTCAATGTGATACTCTGACTTCATACATACCTGCTGTCCTTGTTGTTGTCCTTTTGCAGCTTTTAATCAATGCAATACTTCCCATCCTATTCCCACCATCTGTGATGGGATGGTCAGTCACAGCCCGTATGCTGACACTGACACTTAAGCCATTTTTACGGCACAACAATGTGAACTGCTGCGTGCAGCACTTGGCTCTGTTGTGTCTAATTTGAGATATTTTAGCAAAATTATAAAAGTAATACTAAAGCTTAAAATTCATATTAACATTTATTTATTGATGAATAGTAATAGTAGCTTAGATCATATAGAAATCCACAAAAAGACCCATTGTCCTCTTAGCTTGTGCAGTGTTATGGGCTTATGTTAATCAGGCACTTTAGTAGCTGATAAACTTGGATTTAAATATAACTGTGTTCTGAATTCCAAGCAGAAAAAAATCAATACACATACTGAAATGCTTCTCAGTCACTCTAACTTTTGTTTTACTGGCCCCTGAATGTGTAAAGTGTTATGATGTATTATTAAAATATTTGTAATACTGCTTGACAGACAAAGCGTGACACATAACATTTAAAGCTGTAGGTACTAAAATAGGAAAAGTGGCATTTTTACTTGCATAATTAAAATAAATCTCTAAATAGGCCTCCTCCTGTCCTGATTGGATCCTCCTTTTAATGACGTTGCTCATGAAAATTAAAAATATATAACTGAGCGAGATCTTAAGTCTGCGGTCATAAGGCAAGCTGCAAACCATGAATTCATTCTCATTAGATAAACACTACAGCCGACTGTTAAGTTTGTTTGTTTTCTTTTTTTTTTTTAACTTGTCTTTTGTGAAACTCCTCCACCTCTCCGTGCGTGTCCGGCTGTCGCAGCATCCTCCTAACGACACCACCCTCCATCCCCGCAGTGACTGACAGGCTAAATGCGGGGGTGTCTCTGCGTAAACGCTGCAACTGTGCAACCTAAAGGTCGCCAGCGGTGAAGTGACAGCTTACACGCAAAGCCGCCAGAGAATCAATATGGTGCCAGCCACTGTTACACCGTCCCATCATCGACCATCAGCTGAGGCCAATAAGACGATACTCTAACTGGTAGCATTCAATTTGCTCCTGCGGCGCCTTAAATCTAATAAAGCGATTGATTGTTCCTGTTTGCAGTTGATGAGCTGCCCATGCACCTCTCCACACATTGACTGACGTGTTTAAGCATCGCTTTGATCCGATCTATGCGATTTGTAGGGAATAAAGCTCAGAAAAGGCCCGATTACAGGCTGCATGTGGACAGGATATTCTAATTGGCTCTCCACCGCGGGGATGATGCACTTTACAGCCATGTGCGTCATGTTGTGCTCGAAATCTTTGTTTTATTTTTGGAGCTTCATCCGTGATCGATAACTATTTTAAAATAAGTTGTATAAGTTAAATGCGAAGCAATGCGACTCATTAAAGGGCAGCTGAGGCCCCAGTTTGCTCGTGAACTTCATTCCAGCACCGCCGGGTCACGCTTTGTCGCCGCCTTGTGTTTAAAGCCTGCCTGCATCTCACGCTGGAGGAGGGCAACATCAGCTGAGATGATCCAGAGGTAAAACATCATTTTAATCTTCTTAGTGTCCGCGGCTTTTCATTTAAACAATTATGAAATAAGGTTAGGAAATGTAATAGACTTTGTTTAAAATCTTAAAGAAAAACCCCCCAAACATATTTAGATTAAGAGAGACATTATTTTGCAATGAAAATATTCATATTTCACCGCACTGAACGTTTTCTATACGTGAATAATATTTATACAATATTTATGCAGTTAGGTAATAATAGATATTTAAATTATTTAATTAACACAAACGTTTTAATTTTAATTATGGTGCCGTTCCTAACAAATAAACGAATAAATAAATATAGTTATTTTGTTTTTAAGCAAAGTAATAAGTATATATTAGATTCCAAATTTGTTAAAAATAAAAGCTCTATGAATTCAAAAAAAAAAAAAACCCTTTGCTGTTTTAAATCCCCGGTGTTATTATTTTTAAATGAATAAATAAATTAGGAACAAACCTACAAATCCGGATTTTGGACAGCAAAAAAAAATCTTCCTCCCCTTCACATGAATAATCAACACCAGCACTGTCTTCCCTGCCCACCTGCTGAAGGAGCAGAAAAAAAGAGAAAAAGAAATAACAACAATAATCATAAGAAGAATAATAAATGAACCCTTTCCGATGTCCCTGCATCAAATTCCAGAAAGGTCGCAGTGGCTGTGGAGAGAGGAAAAGATTCCATCTGAGAGAAATTACACGCGTCTGCCAAACAGAGAGAGAAACGTGCTGCTACATTCGCCTACCTACAAGAAGTGGCGTTTCCCATCATCCGGAGAGTGTGGAGCCTCTCTCCGCAGACACTTTGTCAGCTTGAGCCGCAGTTTTTTTTTTCTTCCTCCGCATCCTTCAGATCCACATGGAGAGGGGAAAAGTGCTGAATTTCTACTACCTTTGAACGCTCATTAGCACCTCATAATTACTTTACTAATTAGGGTGACATGGTTATTAACAAGATGCGCTGTCATGACAGTCCCCACTCCTCCCCGCTCCTAAATATGTCGACCTTGCGGCTCCTAGAATATATCCTTAAAGATAGATCAGATGCCAGCAGCGACACTGGAGCCGGTTCTCAGGGCGCACAAACGTCTGACCTGATATTTAGCTTTTTATCTCCACAAACAATTTTTAAAATAATAAATCAGGGCTGGAATTTGGCTGTGGTCAAATCTGGCAACAGCTGCACTTTTCTTTTATCGTCTACGAGGATAAAGAAAGCTTTAAAAAGAGTTTGACGGCTGGAAAATAAAGTAAATGTTTGTACTTCATCCTACCATGCTGGAGTTTCCACTGAGGACTTTTTTTTCGCTTTATAAAATTATTTCAAATCTGAATTTAATTTTTCTTTTTCTTTTAAATTCCCACATCTGTAGCTTTTTCTTGACGGCCAGGATTTAATATGAAATGTTCCCAGTTTGGCCTTAAAGCACACGCGTGTTTTTTTTTTTCCTCCCTTTTTTTTTTTTTTTAAAGACCTGCACTAAACTCGGTGCAATGGTTGGATTGAACTACCTAGATAAAGAAACAACTCGCTGATTGGTGAGGTGCCCGAGCCGGTCAGGACGCGAACCAATGGGAGAGGAGGAAGGTGGGTGGGGAGGTGGAGGGGGAGAGAGAAAAAGGCGTCGAGTGTTTATTATAAAGGAGA